TCGTAGATTTGGGCATAATGAGATCGATGAACCATCATTCACACAACCAAAAATGTATAAGGTCTGCCATTATACTTGTATGTTCGGTTATGTATTTCCCTTTACACGTATCATAGTTGTTCCCTCCCCCCTTTTTTTTGCGGTTCTATATTTATCATGTAGAGTGACACAAACTTCACATGTTTAGATTATTTTTTACCCTTTCTAACAGATTATCCGGAATCACCCCTCAGCTCTTCAGATATACCAAAACAAATTGTTAGAGTCTGGGCAGGTGACAGAGCAAGACATTAGTCGTATAAGTCAGAAAGTTAGCTCAATTCTTAATGAAGAATTTTTGGCCAGCAAAGATTATGTCCCGAAAAGAAGGGACTGGCTTTCTGCTTATTGGACAGGATTCAAGTCACCTGAACAACTTTCTCGTGTCCGAAACACTGGGTTAGTCTGTGTCTTTGCAATTTCAACATTCATAATGGGTAACCCTGATCTCGACTCACTAATGAAACTTTCATGATTTGCAGGGTTAAACCTGAGATATTGAAGAATGTTGGCAAAGCAATCACAACCCTTCCAGATAATTTTAAGCCTCATAGATCAGTAAAGAAGGTATACGAACAACGTGCACAGATGATTGAGACAGGGGAGGGTCTTGACTGGGCTATGGGGGAAGCACTTGCATTTGCTACACTGGTGGTCGAAGGAAACCATGTTAGGCTGAGTGGTCAGGATGTTGAAAGGGGTACATTTAGTCACCGACATTCTGTGATTCATGACCAGGAAACAGGGGAACAGTACTGCCCCCTGGACCATGTTATCATCAACCAAAATGAGGAGATGTTTACTGTCAGCAATAGGTAACCTATTTGTGCTTTTTGTGTAATAGTCAATTTTTTAGTCCAATACTAATATACTATACATTTTATCCTAGAATGTATGCCAAAGGATTCTTATCATCCATGTAAACAATGTGATTAAATGTTAATTGTTCTCTGCATCAAGGCATAACTTATGGAAAATTTCTCCATTTGACTGAATCCCATACTTGAAATGTGCTTTCCATGCAGTTCACAACATGCAATGACACGTACAATTTTACACTTGATATCTTTCATTTGTGAATTTATACTTTTTTTTTAATTATGTGATAATATCCTTGCTTCTTGTAATTGTACTGAGTTATGTTGATTCTTGAGAATTCTTTTTGTTAATATTTGGATTCTATTCTGAGCAACATGGGGTTTTGCGTGCAGTTCTCTTTCCGAGTTTGGTGTGCTTGGATTTGAATTGGGTTACTCAATGGAAAACCCAAATTCCTTGGTTATGTGGGAAGCTCAGTTTGGTGACTTTGCTAATGGTGCTCAGGTGATCTTTGATCAATTTTTGAGTAGTGGAGAGTCAAAGTGGTTGCGTCAAACCGGTCTGGTTGTGCTGCTTCCTCATGGTTATGATGGACAAGGTCCTGAACATTCGAGTGCACGACTAGAGCGTTTTCTGCAGGTATTCCCCATGAAACAACATGCATTGTTCTTTGTGTCTTGGTTTAGTTTCACCATCCTCCTTGTATTGACATTCACACTATGCTAGCATGTCATCGTATACATGAAAAGCAAGGGGGAAAAAGACTATTGTGCATTGGTAACTAGATATAATACTTTTGTAGATGAGTGGTGACGATCCTTTTGTTATACCTGTGATGGATCCGACTCTTCGTAAGCAAATTCAGGAGTGCAACTGGCAGGTGGTTAATGTTACAACACCTGCTAATTACTTCCATGTTTTGCGGCGACAGGTGAGTGCAACTAATATTTCTTAACGATGTTTCAACATTGAGGAAAGTCTTGCCATTTTCCTTTTCTTATTGTTTCTTCTCTCCACTCTCTCAGATACACAGGGAATTCCGTAAACCACTTATTGTCATGTCCCCCAAAAATTTGCTTCGTCACAAGGATTGCAAATCAAATCTTTCTGAATTCGATGATGTTCAAGGCCACCCTGGTTTTGATAAGCAAGGGACCCGATTTAAGCGCCTCATAAAGGATCAGAATATTCACTCTGACCTTGAGGAGGGCATCAGACGCTTGGTACTTTGTTCTGGAAAGGTTTGTAAACTTGTGCCCGCATTTTCTCCATGTTTTCCTTTTCTATAAGCAATTTAATTTTGGAATTTTCTCTGGTAGAGTGAACCGGACATCTAAAAGTTCATGAATTTTGTTATCTTGTTGGGCTTCTAACTTGGAGTCTTCTGACCCCACCAATGATAAATATGTTCTGAATCTTCTATGTAGGTTTGATAATTTCTTTGTTGTTTTTGATACAATAATCCATGTTCTATCTGCTTTCAGGTTTACTATGAGCTTGATGATGAACGAAAGAAGAACAATGCTTCGGACGTTGCTATATGTCGTGTGGAGCAGCTTTGCCCATTCCCTTATGACCTCATCCAGCGAGAGCTTAAGAGATATCCAAGTATGTACTAGGAACTTGGACTTGATCTATAGCTTTTATTTGTTTTTGTACCTCCCATCTTTCTCTTCTCCTTTTGCCAAACTGGATGCACTAGCTGTGACGGGTTATGTGCCGTTCGGTTTAATAATTTATCGTGTATCGTATGCCTCTATTACTCTTAGATACTGAAACACTGGTTTTGACTTTCTTTTTGGGATTACATCAGATGCGGAGATTGTATGGTGCCAAGAAGAACCAATGAACATGGGTGCATTCAGTTACATTGCACCTCGACTTGCGACCTCAATGACTTCTCTGGGTAGAGGAGCTTTTGATGATATCAGGTATGTCGGGCGTGCTCCATCTGCGTCAACTGCAACCGGTTTCTATTCTATTCATGCGAAGGAACAAACTGAGCTCGCGCAAAAGGCGATTCAACCCGAACCAATCAAGTTCAATGCCGTAATCTGAAGTTTTTCAAACTTGCAAAACTATAGCATCATGCAAATTTCTGAAATAAAATCTTGTGCGAGCTTCAAACACTTTTGTTAGAGTTCTTGCAGTTACTTTGATGCTTGTTTTTTTCCAAGTTGTGCCTTTTCTGCCAACGCACCGATGTTACCATACTCGAGGTAAACCGTTAATCAAATATTTGATTTGATGCATAATTTATTGTAATATTATATGTTTTGTTCCCTGGAAATAAGAAAAATGAGTTTAAACAATTCATTTTTACTTTTCAGAACTTAAAACTAGGTTCTGTGCGCATTTTTAAAACAATGATGCAGATGGAATGGAACTTCTTCATCTTCAACTTACAAAAAGGTGAGGGGATGTATAACATGTTTCGCTTAATGTTGTATCCCTTCCCAAGTTTCTCTGCAGTCAAACACTTGATATCGTTGACAAGTCGTCATCTTTTGATATCCTCCCGCAAATTTATGTGATCTATCAAACTTAATTTTATTATTAGCCGATCATATCTATTCAACTTACAAATTTATAAAAGTCATCAATGACTTTACGACCTGACATCAACATTAAAAGTCACTATAAATCTTATCGATCAAGAGAAGGATACAAAATCACCTTTTCACTCATCTTCTTCAATTTCCTTCCGAACATAGAGAACTTAAACACCGAAGTATTGCTATTCTGTCATCAATTATGATTTTTCACTTAAGTTGGACCGACACAATTCATTTATTTCCTTATGAAACTACGTATTCAATCATTTTCTTCTCCAACTCTCCCTGGTATATATTGATCAGTGAATGGATTTTACACAGTGAATAGTAAGTTGCCTGAACATATATAGTTGTAATTTTCTTTTACACAAGTTCATCTGCATAGCTAAATTCTTTTGTGGACCGACTTCTATAAAGAAGATTATTGAATGAAAACGAAGTATCAATCACTGAAATTAAAGCTAGTACGATCATCATTACTAGCTTTGGAGACTTGGTCGTTGAAAAGAGAAACTAAAAGGTACAGGAATATAAATATGGCTTGACATGTTGACTCCAGAAAAATCAATAATAGGCTATATAACTATTTTTCAAGGGTAGTTGAGATGTTATGAAAGGATTTTTTTTTATTAAAATTAGATCACATGTAGGAACAGTATGATCCCAAATGTGATAATCAGAATGTTATTCATTAGTTAAAATGAACATTGATACTTTTTGTAGTTTGATAGGAGATGTGTTAACTTGGAACAGAAATCAAGTAAAATTAGCAATGAATAAATAGCTGGAATGGGGTTGGGCATCAAGTGGAAGTGCAGCAATGTTGGAAATGCAAGCAACTAAAATGGCTCTAAACTCACTTATTTGTTGGTGGATGGTGCCCATCAAAACCTCCAAGAAAGCTTTGTAATTAGGTAGGAGTACGTTGTTTACCTTCAACTAAGTGTTTGTTGGGTTATTATCATCAACTGCCCCATACCTCTGTTTCCCTTGCTTACTTTTCCATATTTTTAAAGTGTTCCTTGCAAAGCGGGCGTTCTTGGAAGAGGCCAAGTCTTTTTCCCCCCTTAATCTTATAATGTAGTTTTTTGGTAAGCAAAGAATGAGAACATAGACATGTCAACCGACACTGTTTTGTATAGGGATGACGACAGACTAGGTCCAATCTAAAATTTTGATTAATTAAAATTCGATTTGAAAATTAAAGTCCTCCGTCTGCACTTGATTCAATTCTGGTTTAAAAATCCTAAAATTTGAAACCCGATCCAATTTTTAGGCTAAAGTCTACATCCGATATATATATATATATATAATTCATTTTTATTAGGTAAATTAAGGACTTAATTGAAGAAAATAAAATAAAAACATTATTATAATTATCTTTAAATATATAAAGATTATAATATTATATCGAGTCAAATAAAATCAAAATTTTTATTTTAAACTCAAACCCGACTTAAATAGACCTAATTTTGTAGGTATAAAGAGCGTAATTTGTATGCAATTGCAATTTTGCTGTTGTAAAATATATATATATGTGGATACAGAATGACATATATTTAACAATATAATTGGGAGTCATTTAATAATATTTAAAAATAGAAGAATAGTATTGATTAGCACATCCCCATATCATTTAAGAAATTACCAGTGGAAGGAGGTACCCCTAGCATGACAGTTTTCCCAGGGGAAAACTTGAATGATATATAAATTGTTTGAATTAAAGGTTCATATGAAGATGATGTGGGAAGCTTTCATCAACATTTTCAACCATTCTGAACTTGTACGGATACTTGCCTTTCTTCTCCAACTTGGCTACTTTTACCAGATGCTTCAAACATTTCCCATCTGCTTTGGATATGATTATTGGATTATTCTCTCCGAATAGTGCTATCAATTGCCTTGACAATAAATTCTCCATCTCTTCATCTGCAAATCCTTCTAGTTTCACTACCTTAAGACTTTTGAGATTTGCAGGACAACTGACTATGGCTGCCATTTTTTCACTGCTACTGCTACTCAGCTCATAGCATTTAGGATCAATCTGCAAGTTTTGATCAATCATAGCAGCTCGGTATTTTTTTGATGGAAATAAGTTTGGATTGTCGGTAGTTAGCGGTACACCACTTCTGGTTTGGGGGGAGAGTCGTGACCGGTGAGAAAACCTCACCAATATATGAAAGATGCAAAAGTAGATGAAGGAAACGGGGAGACTTACAGTGACATAAAGTCTTTCCAAATTGGGACAAAGCTTCAGAAAGCAAAGCAAAGCATTGATATTGTGTCTGGCCATTGAACAATCAATCCACCACAGCTCTTTTAGTCGGCTGAAATACAATTCAGGGCCCCCACTTGAACTAAATAAACTCTTGCACATCGTTTGCTATAGAAAAAATGAAACGAGTTTAGAAAAGAAAAAGAAAATGGAAAAATTGAACATTTCTTTCACTCAGCATACCTCAAAGAACCACCTGCATAGTGTTATAGACTTAACACCATTTATGCTACTCAAAATCGATTCGAAGCATCTATGCTTGCTGTTGCAGTTGCAACGGTCGTTTCCGTGTGAACCGCGATGAGGACCAACGGTTGGTTCGAAGTCCCAAGTCCATTTAGTTAGAGGACCTTGTCTGAGATCAACCATGGCATCTTCCAGGTATAATCCACAGTCACACGTCGAATATACGTCGGCGTAATAGCATCTGCAGCATGCTTTGAACCGAAAGGACACTAACTCACCTCTGTACCGGAAACACCGTAAACGGGGACCCTGAAAACTCAGAGATTGTAATTGGGGACAGTCCAGGACAATTAGCTTTTGAAGAACGCCAGCATCTTCTACAACTAAAGATTGAACTCCTTTACACCTTTCGATTATCAAGCTCTCGAGAAAGGGAAGATTGGACGCCAAGCAAGTGAGCGCTTTGCTTGAGAGCTGGCTGACCGATATTAGATAAAGGGTTTTTATTCTGAACTGTTGAGCAAAAGACAATGGGGGGTTTAACTCCATTATCTTGTCGTCTTGGTTATAGGGCGGTGACCACTCGCAACGCCATGGAAGACTCAACGGCAAATACCAATCAAAAGAAGCTGGGAATTCTCGTTCACCGGCTGAGAAATCAAGATGGAGTGTTCTATCAGGTGTGATGGAAACGAAGAGAAGTGCACCTTGGCCAAGGTTGAATTGCAATCCCCAGTTGTTTTTTGGTCGATTGTGTTCATCGAAATCATAAAGAAGATTGAATGCAGTAACAACAGCGCCTTCCATGTCTCTTTCAAGTACCAGAATCTTTCTCCACAGGCCTTTCCATCGTCTCGAGAGGAAAGTGGTGTGGACAGCAGATTCAAAAGGGAGGAAGCTAATGATATGGAAAAGGATGTCGTCAGGGAAACAACTGATGACATCTTTAGCCTCGATGTTCTGTTATTAGAAAGAAAACAAAAAACCCAGATTTTTTAATCATTGAGAAAGAGTAAAATTGGTTTGATCATATAAATGAACAAAAATTAAGTAACGTTGAAGAGAAAATACAAACAGTTGTTCCATTGCAGCATTTCTGGGAGTGCCCTGTTTTTGCCTTGGATTCTTCTTGATCTTCCTCTTCTTTCCCCTGGTTTCTAAAATTAAAGCATTTTGAATTACACATATGGGGTTTGGCTTGAATTCAGCTGCAGATGTTGTTGCCTGTTAAAGCATATATGATATATGGGTCTGACACCGAACTTTCAGCTAAGAACTCAACTAACTAATGTATTATAAACGTAGAGCATTGGTTAGTGGACAATGACTGCGTTTTTACAGCATAAGTTTCTGTGTATCTGGATTATAAAAAAAAAAAACGTAGATCATTGGTTTTTTGTATTATATATATTGATTTTTCTAGGCTTTTTAACCCAAATATTGTACACGTTAGGTAACTTTCCTTCTTATTTCACTCATCATATTTTTAATTTTTTTAATTTACTCACTAAACTTTATAGATTGGATTTTTTTTGTCATTCCGCCGTTATATAATTAACGACGTTATGACATGATCGTATTTTAATCAAAATGACATCGTTTTAGTTTAAAAGTTCTATATTTTTTTTCAAGAAATCAAAACGATGTCGTTTTGATGTAAGTTGTCATGTCTTAAAGTCATTTAATTATTTAACAGCGGAGTGATTAAAAAAATTTAATTTACAGAGTTCAATGAGTAAATTGAAAAAAATTGAAAATACAATAAGTGAAATAGGAGATCGAGTAAACTTCACTTACCAAACGCGTAATTTACCCTAAGTATATAATCGTTAAAAATTATAGTAAACTATACTTAAAATTCTTTTCATTTACTATGGATATTTCAATTTTATCAAATAAATCATTTAACTATTTAAGTATTTCAATTAAATCAACAACAGTTTACATTTAATTGAAAAGTTAATATGGTTGTTAAAATTTATAATAATTTATTTAATATTTAACATATATTAAATTGATCTTAATTTTAATTTAATTCAATTTTAATTTTAAGATGATCGTTAACAGTACACTTCCAATAAGTGTGTCGCCATTTTATTATACTCCAAAAAATTAAAATGTTGGAAGACTAAAATATCTCAACAAAGAATAATTTTGTTATCATGTCTAAAATTAAATGATTAACAACGTCTTCACTATAAAATTTGAAAGGACTTTGGCCTCTTTTAGGTCCCCTTTATGTTAGCAAAGTCTCCACTATAAAAAGTTTGGCCTTTTAAGTCCCATTGTGTGTTCAAACTTAGTTATATATATTCTCATAAGTATTGGCCTAATTAATATTTTTACAATTTAATTATTAAATTTATTAATATGATTATATTTGTTATACATATAAGTTTCAATTAATTTGATACTTTCATCAAAATACTTTCTTTTTAATATATATATTATGGTTGAAAGTTTCTAAACCAAAAAATTATTAAACATTCTTATTTTACTCAGAATTTAACATGTATGATTTACTTAAATAACATAAATATAACGATTAAAATATTTAAATATTAATTAGATAAAAAGTTAAGAGAGAGTGTAAAATTACTGTAAATGAATTGTGTATATATATAAGATTTGAGATCCCCATACTTTTGGATTCATAGAATTTTAATTCCTCTTAATCTGGTTTTATATATTTTTAATAGTTATTGATTTTATTTAATAGAAAAAATATTTAAAATATAAGAAGATCTATAAATACACATAAACCAAACATTTCTTCTAAAATCATTGAAGTGTATAAACTAATCACTTAAAATATAGATCATACAAGAAAATACTTAAAACTTTAACCAAATAACTTGAACAAATAATACATAAACAATAACAAATAAAGTATAGGAGAGTTTACAAAACTAATAAAAATGCACCAAATAATATATGTAAACTAAATTCATAAGTTAAATATTTTTTCTCTAAAGCATGAAATGCCAAACTAATCACTTAATAATAAAAATATACAAGGAATAATAAAATTTTAATCAAACAATTCAATACTAACATAAATGCATATAACAATAAATATCGATAACTAGCATTATCATAACTCACCGCAATCTATTGTTAGTGGTTTCAAGCATCTATCAATATCTAGTCTATGAATTCAAAGTATGGATAGACTAATAGGATAATTAAATAAATATTATCTGAATTTAAAGATATGAGGTTAAATTTAACTCTGAAAAAGAAAAAAAAATGCTACGCCAGCCTATAAAAGCAAATAAAACCATCCACAATTTCATATGAAAAAGGAATGGTTGGTTGAAAGAATAACGCAGATCAAAAGGAAAAAAATAGAAAGTGAAAAATAAATCAATGTGGGTGGCTAGTCCAAAGTTAATGTTGTTGTCGATGAAACTATATTAAAATTTAAGAGGGATCCGTAAAGAAAATAAATAAATTTATTTTTATATTTAATCCTTATATTTAAAACTAAAAATTATTAATTGAAGATTATATGTTTATTAATATGTTTATATTAATAAACAATTGATAATCTTTAAAAAAAATCTTTTAAACAAAAACGTAACAGGAGAAACTAACCCATGAAAAATAAATTCAAATTTTTAAATAATAGAAAACCCTCCGTTATAAAACAATTAAGGCGTTCTTAGATATGTGCAACTCAATATTAGATTCGATTTGAGTTGAATTAGGTTGGTTTTTTATACCTTTACCGGATACCGGATTCGTGTCATAATTTTGACTCCAATGATTCACAAAATTTGGTGGTATACCGGAAGAAGTCTCACTAACTCTTTGATTACGGATAGTAAAAGAGGAAAATTCAATTTAGATAGAATTAATCTAAAATAAATCTACCCACGGTGATTAATTAAGAAATAAGATTTGTTTATTTTATTCTTATCTAATCCAAGAAAAAAAAGTGATTGGATTCATTGAAATGCACTTTAGTTTTTAAGTTTATGTTCTGAGTGATCTCCATGTGAGCTAGCTTATGGGAATAATTTAACCAAGCAACTGGAGAGGCCAGTTCCAATCAACAAAGAATAAAATAATTAGCAAAAACGGATACAAATTTTTTAATTGTATTTGGATATTCTTTATTTTTATTGTTTTAGTTTGCTTTAGTTTTTTTAGTTTTAAGAATATTATTTTCATTTTTATTAATTTAATGATATTTAAAATTAATAAAAGAGATTAATAAAAGAGAAAATAGAAAATATAGGGCTATACGGGCTCGAACCATAGACCTTCTCGGTAAATTTTTAGTTTTAAGAATTTATTTTCATTTTTATTATTTTAACGAATATTTAAAATTAATAAAAGAGATTAATAAAGAGAAAATAGAAAATATAGGGCTATACAGACTCGAACCATAGACCTTCTCGGTAAAACATATCGAACTAATTATTATCAAAATGATTTAGCCTATTTCAAAGACACAACATGCATTTTTTACTGCACTAACTATGGCGGAATATTTCCGAGATTTAATGAACAAGATGTACTTCTATTTATAGATAATATCTTCCATTTTGTCCAAGCGGGATTCGAAGTATCTGCCTTATTGGATGGAATGTCTTCCGTTGTGGGTTATCAACCCATCCTTAGTACGAAAATGGGTACTTTACAAGAAAGAATTACTTCTACCAAGGATAGATCCATAATTTCTATTCAAGTAGTTTATGTACCTGCAGATGATTTAACTGTCTCTGCCCCTGCCACAATATTTGTTCATTTAGATACTGCTGCCATATTATCAAGAGGATTAACTGCAAAAGGTATTTATCCCGCTATAGATTTAATGCATCATTGAATTGAATTAATAAAAATGCAATTCCTAAAATTTTTTCACATGTTCTTTAGTTTTTCCAAACAAGATAAAAGAAAAAACCAAACAAAAAAAAGTCAAAATGTAAAATAAAAATCGTGATGAAAAGTGTCCATTGTCTAATGGATAGGACAGAGGTCTTCTAAACCTTTGGTATAGGTTCAAATCCTATTGGAAGGAATTTAGAATCAATTTCTATATGGAATATAATATTATATATTCTGTATATTATTATATTAGATTATTATCTATAATATTCTAATTATTATCTATATAATTAGATAATTAAATTAGAATTCTAATTTTTATATTTCTATTTTTTATTAAAAATTAGAATTTTATTAAAAAATTTATTTAAATTTATCTTTAAGTAAGTTAGAATTTTCTATTTATAATTGTTCATGAAGTTGAAAACGTTTCATTTGTTCCTGAATAGCATCTTTTCAACTTTTCAAATGAACGATTTGAAGACCTATTGATTCTAACAACTTATTGCAAAGTTGATCATTCGGAACTTTCAATTCATAGATGTGGATCTCAGACCTATGAATGGGGATATTCCCGAAACTCACAAAGAAAAAAGGAAGTGAATTAGAAAAAGAGAAGCAACTTGGACAAAAAGAGAAGTAGCTTGGAGAAAAAGAACGAAGTGGCTTAGACAAATATTTTTTGTCGATAACCTCAAACCAATCAATCGAATATTGATTAATACGTATCGATCGAACACTACTTGAAAACAACTCTTCTTCTCATAAACGAAATGTTCCAAATGCTGATAGAAATTCTTGCTCTGGCAATTAGGTTAGGTATGATGAAAAAGTATGAAAAGTCTTTTGCTTGTTTATATTCTTTCTCTAGAAATTACTTTTCCTACATTTAAAATATGTATATTGTGAAGAAGACTATTCCTCTTTACTTTTTTTTTCTTTTTTCAATCTAAATTGGATTAAATTGGAGGGGGTGTAATTCTATTTATATTGTCAGATTTAATGTCACAGAATGGGTTCATATTTAAATGTCACATAATGGGTTTTGTTTTCTAAATTCAATTTGATTAGATACTAAATATAAGATAAGTAAACACAGAGAATATAAAGGAGGGATAAGTGAGGGGAAAAATAATTACAGGGAGTATTCTTCGTCTTCGTAGCCTTCGACACAAGAAAAGGAATTTTACACATCATTTTCTAGTGTTGTGTCAAAATAATAACAATTCTGGAACTCGTTCGTCAAAGATTTCTATTCTTAGTTTAGATTTTTCCAGATTTTTCATAACCCTTTCTTTTTTTCCTTATATATTTTGATTTACTTGTAATAGATAATAGAATAAGTAAAAGGATAATATACCAAGTATAAAATAAGTCTAAACTAAATAAGTAGGATATAAATGTAATAAGTAATG